TCAATCGAATTAAAAATAAATAATAAGTGTGTGACTCTGAGTGTTTTGAGCCCAAAAATGGGCACTAAATGTGACGGCTGCCATGCCGTAATATGTGATGATCTCAGGATGCAGTGTTCGGAGAAAAATTGTGGTAAATCTTACCATCTTGCGTGTCTTGGATTGGGGAAGGAAAAGCTGGAGGCTACCACAGGGGAAAGTGGAAGTAAATGGCTATGCCCAGAGTGCACGAGCATTATCCCTAAAGGTGGTAATTTGAACACGCCAGTACGAGGACCCAAGCAAGTGAATAAGGAACCAGTTACACCTAGCTACGTCAATATCAAGCGAGGTGGCGGCGGCGGTCCGACTACCGTTGATTCTATAGTAGTAGAAAATGAGATACTGAAAGAGTTAAGAGCGTTGAGATATGATTTTAATTGTCGACTAGATAGACAAGCAAAGGAGTACGACCTACTTCAAAAGAGATTTGTTGTTACGGAAAACGAATTACAAAAAGTACAAAAGATTTTGGAGGTAGTTCAAGAAAAAGTAAATAAAATAGATCTTTTAGAGGCTAATATTAAAATATTAGAAAAGAAAAAGGAAGAACTAGAATCAATTTGTAATATGGAGAAAAGTCAGCAGTCAGCAGTCCAGCAGCCGGAAAAGTCAGTTTTAACGTTTGCAAATGTTGCAAAGAAACAAACTCAAAAGAAGGCAGCGGATAATAAAAGTGTGGCCATGAAACCCACGGAGCCGATTGTGCACAAACAATGTATTGTGATAGATTCACAAAATGATCTAACGGATATTACTATTCAAAAAAGAAAATAAAATGGAAACTAGTAATTGGACGGTGGTAAACAAGAAAAAGAGATATCCCAACGATGAAGTAAAAAAAGGAGAAAGTACGAATTCAACTGAAATTAAGGGATCAGAGAGAAAAAAGGTACCTGCATGTTTGGCGGTTAGACACAGAAACCACAATTGAAAGCCTACAAAAGTATGTTAAAAATATTTGTGGAAATGAAGTGCCCATAAAGATTGACCAAATAAAACATAAGACTCAAAGAGACTATTCTTCATTTATTATAGCACTCCCTGAAAGTAAATATAACGTATTATGCCAACCAGAACACTGGCCTATAAATATTGAATTTTGCGAGTGGGTGTGGTTTCGTCGAAACACCCGTGAGCAACAAAGTGACAAAAAATAGTAAGAATATACAAATTTACTATCAGAACGTGAGAGGACTTAGAACGAAGACAAGCGATTTCTATTTGGCTATTGCTTCATCTGATTCTGATTTATTCATCATTACGGAAACAGGTTGTAATGAGTCGATTTACGACGGTGAGCTGGTCCCACCAGGTCATAGTATTATTCGGTGTGACCGAACAGATGGACGCAAACAAGGCGGCGCGTTTTTAGTGGCCACACCGCGTTTCGAACTGAGACGAATTACGATACCTGACAATGTAAACATTGACAATCATATATTCGAAATAGTTTGCGCTACTGTCTACCTTCGAAACCGGTTTTTGTTTTTGTTGTGCGCTGTTTATATACCGCCTAATAGTAGTGAATGTGAATATATGGTAATGTTTAGAATAATTGAGCAGCTATGTAACAGTTACGACAAGGTTTTAGTGTTAGGAGATTTCAATATGTACTCTTGTCCACTTAGTGTAAATCAATATTTTGAATATTTTATAACTTATTGTGGGTTCATTCAGAGTAACAATATTTACAATTGTAATGATAGATGTCTAGATCTAGTATTGAGCACGGTTGAGGAGCGGGGAGATGGTGTGCGCGTGAGCGGGGCGACCCAGCCGTTGGTGCCGGTCGACGTACAACATCCACCGCTCGATGTAACTGTCTGCTTGCGATCGCTTACTCACACTGACACTATCGCGCATTCAAGGTCAAACACATTTTCAAACATCACCAAAATACCTCCGCAATGGCATTTTAAAAAAGCTAACTTTCCTTTGTTGTATCATTTAATTGAGACCACAGACTGGTCTTCCATATATGAATTAAATTTAGAAATGAGTTTAGATTACTTCTACGAGTCTATTAATAAAATATTAGAACAATGTGTTCCAAAAAAAATTCAATGTTATAGTAGGTCTAAATACGTGTATCCTGAGTGGTATACCGCCGATGTTATCCGATTAATACAACAAAAAGCTACTCTTCATAAAGTATACAAGAAAAGTAGATCAGGTTTAGATTACGAGGTTTTTTCACAATTTAGGGCTAAGGTCAAACAAAGCATAAGAGAAGCGTATACACACCATCAGCATATCGTTCAAAGTAATTTACAGGAAAACCCTATATCTTTCTGGAGGTATATAAACTCCAAAAAAAGCAATAGAAGTCCTCGGAAAATATATAAAAACGGTGAACTTCTGACGAATGAACAGTCAGTACATGAGTTAGCCAATTACTTCTATTCGGTGTACAGTCCGTGTAAGGCTAAATTAGATGTAAATTCAGCGATACAGGTGACTGGCAGTGAGAACGCGGCAGCACGCGTACACCTTAGCGCGTTACAGCTCAGTGAGGTACAGCACGCCCTTAAACAACTTAAGCCAAAGAAATCGACAGGACCAGATGGTATACCACCGTATATATTTAGAGACTGCCGATCTGTTCTAGCTAAGCCTTTGCTTCATATATATAACCAATCCCTGAGAGCAGCAGTATTTCCGGAAAGATGGAAGACGACTAGGGTAGTACCAGTACCGAAAGCTGGTGCCAAAGGAAACCTGGATGGTAATAGACCTATCGCAGTCCTGTCGACTCCAGCAAAAATATTTGAGTCAGCTATACAGAAGAGCGTATATCATCAAATGGGTATACAATTATCGGATTCACAACACGGGTTTCGGCCGAATAGAAGTACAAGCAGTAATCTTCTTGCGTATATGGCGGACGTGTTACCGACGGTGGACGCGGGCGGGCAGGTCGACGCAGTCTATTTCGACTTCAAAAAAGCGTTTGACCTTGTAGATAATGATATCCTACTCAGAAAGCTAGCAGGCATTGGTTTTACACCACACTTACTCAACTTCTTTGCTAGCTACATGACAGACAGACAGCAATATGTAGAATATGCAGGATACCGATCAGACACATATTTCACGAGGTCTGGAGTAAGCCAGGGTAGTAATTTAGGTCCTTTGGAGTTCATAATAATGATAAATGATCTCCCCAAAATGGTCCAAGGAGCAAAATGCCTATTATTTGCAGATGATTTTAAATTATACCTACCTATAGTATGTAAGGAGGATTGCACGAGGCTACAAAGTGATATAGATAGGGTGACTAGGTGGAGCAAGGAAAACAACTTGCAGCTTAACACCTCAAAATGTGTCACAATTACATTCTCTCGTAGCCACAACCCTATTGTACATAATTATATGATAGAAGACTGTGTACCCATGACTAGGGTCAAGGAAGTTCGTGATTTAGGAGTGGGTATGAATACAGGATTAACTTTTCGTGAACACATCATTAAATGTTGTAAAAAAGCTTACAAAAGTTTGGGTTTCATACTACGCACAGTTAATAATTTCACAAATATTTACGCAATTACTGCATTATATAATACACTGGTTAGGAGCCAACTGGAATACAATGCGATGATTTGGTCGCCGCACGAAAACAAGTACACTCTTATGCTGGAGCGAGTACAAAATAAATTTTTAAGATACCTGTACATGCGACTGTATGGAGTGTATCCACTCTATCCATTAATGTATCCAACATTGTTCATTTTAGGTATGGTAGGTTACAATGAAATCAGGGTTAGAAGGGAATTTACTCTTGCACGCTATTTGTACACAGTTCTGATAGGCAGAGTACATAACACAGACGTGCTGGATCAGTTGGCACTCCGAGTCCCTGACCGGTACGTATATCGCAGACGCCGGCCGCAGCTGCTGGCGGTACCGCGCGCGAGGACTAACTTGCTGCAGCACGCGCCGCTCACGCGCGCACTCAGAACACTAAACAGAGTCCAAGATAAAATTGACATATTTTGTTGTACTCTGAGTGAATTCACGAAGGTCACATTATATGTAATAAGTTATAGTTAAATCTAGGTTTTTTATGTAATTTTTTGTTTATTTTTTTTATTTTTATAATCTGTTGTTAGTAGGAAATAATTTTTGTTAGTATTTTATTTAGGTAGGAAATGCTTTTACTTTTATTATATATTTACTTCTATTATATTCTTATTGTTGATTTTAGGTAATAATTTTTGTTAAATCTTAGGATAAGTTACTCTATCGCATTAGGAAACTGTAAAGATAGATGTAAGAGAGAATAAATAAATAAATAAATAAATAAATATTTTTGCACTGCTCGCATTTATTATACATAGATGCATAAGATTTGGTGTCACATGTAGAAGCGGCTAAGAGCTCTTCAAGGTTCTTGTGTGTTATGACACCTTTGTGTTTAAGAGCTATGAACATGAACTCTATATTGCTATGTTTAATACAAAGCATGTTTCCCTTCTTTGTGCAGTTGGAGATAGTACATAATATGGTCTGTATCTAAAAAATGTCGAGAAGCTAATTTTCCCTCCTTCGTTTTTATAAACTCGATATAGATTTTGCAAAGTATCTACTAAGTAACGGATTTGTGTCTTCTTTTTTTCCTTTTGTCCTTGTTTTTCGTTTTCCTGCGGACATTCTACTTATATCGTCTCGATTAAAAAAACAATCTAAATCTTCTAGAATTTCTTTTGTGACACTTCCATTATTCTTCTGTCTTATTCTAATGGGATATTTAAGGCCGAGAATTTCTGCTTCAGATTTCCTGCTCAATTTCTTGGGCTGTGTTTGGATAGCTACTTTAATTTTCTGTTTTTCTTCTAGCCGATTAACATTTTTATATAAGTTTTTAACTGTCTGTTCCATAAATTCCTGTCTTGCTTTTACTATATCATTTTCAGTTTGCAACTGTTTGATCGTGTTTTTCGCGTACTGCTTTTGACGACTCATTGTCTTTCGTAGTCTTTTTTATACTGGTCTACTGCTTCTAAAGTTTTTTTGTGTACCGTCATTAATTTCTTGTACCTAACTATCACAGTATTAGCAGTATTTCTGGAACTATTAGGTGTTGATGCAGTCTTTGAAGTTGATGATGTTGATTCTTTTGAAGGCTCGTCAATATTATGGTTTGGTTTATTTTCAGCTTTTTTTCTCTGTGACTGTTTTTTCTTTTTGTTCTCTCCACTTCCTTCTTTGCTCTTCTTTCTGTTCTTCTGTAAGATCTTTAATTTTTTATTATAATATGATTTCATGCGGTGAGATTTTTTTTCTGTGTATTTTTAGTTTTTCTTGATCTTTTTTTAATTTTCTAACGGTATCGCTTAGCTCTATCAGCAGGAGTAAGTGCCATGGTAGTATCTAAAATGAAAAACGAGTTGTTGAATTGAGTGTTTCTTGAAGTAAGATGCAAATATGGTTAATAAACGACGATCCTTTGATCGCAGTTCAAAGTGTTTATTCATAATAACTGGTATAAATATAATATGTATTTAGGATTAATTCTGTCCAGTGGTGCCTCCTTTTGAATTATTGATATTTCTTCTTAATTACTACTTTGATTTAAAACGCTCAGATAGTACACTAGATAAATACATAAGCAATTTTTTTCATAAGTTTATAAATTGAAAAAAACAAAATATTTACAATATTTAATACCGTTTAATATATAACATAAGATTAAAAAAAGTTTTTCTTTATTACGAAAAACGGCCACTTAAGTTTTTAATAAAAAATTATTTGAATTCATCGATGTGAAAGCTATTTAGATAGTATTCATTTTTTTTATATGTTTAACTGATGAACAGTTCATCAAAAGTTATTATTGTGATTAAAACAGCAAAATGATAATTTATAATTAAATATCGAAAATTCACATGGAGGTGCCACTGGACAGAATCAGCCTTTTTTAAGCTAAAAAAAAGGATCTTACTGAATGTTTTAAATCATTTTTATTTACCAAGGACTATAATTAATTGAATGACTTGATCAAATACAAATTAAGAAAAAACTTAATAATAGTATCATTACCTGCAAAATATTTAAAAAAAACTAATATTTTCGTGTTTTAAAAGAGAATCATTTAAAATATGTATGTTAAGTTTAATGAACTTCCCTTCCTACTTTTTACAGGCTTAGGACTGTCTGAATGTATGTTAAGCTGTGTAATTATTGTATCTGTTATAATTATTTACTCATATTTTCAAACATTTCAATAAATATAACTCATTCAGGCGTGGTTAGAAGTTTATGGATGTTATGTATATTTTGATTGAATTTTTACATTATTTAAACTGTGGTCAAAGTTTTAGTTATCTACAATTATTTACATTTTTTTTCAGTTACATTATTTTTATTATTATATTATTATTATTATTATTCAAAAACATTATTTGGTTTACTTTTGACGACGTAAGCCTTGTGAGTCTATCCGATATTAAATCCGAACGGCAAAACTCTTCATACACTCCTACGTGTCTTTGCTTAAGGTGAAGTTTTAAATTTGTAATTGTACTTTTGAAAGATAAAGTTTTTTTTAATTGCACACTGCTTTTTTTTCGTCCACACTTTGGACTTATACTTAAAATAGTTCCAAATGGCTGCGCTATGCTGACGCGACATTATTATACACTTTTACATACAACACGCTAAATGCTATCTATATTACACAAAATATTTAAAATTACTTTAGGAATAAAACTTAACGAAAAATAAACAAAAACAATAGCTTTTTCATGTAATATGGGGACCTGCTATCAAAACATTACGTATATAATTTAACAGATAACAGTGTCATTGTCATCTCAGCTAGACAGCTGTTAGTCAGCAAATAAAAGTTTTTTTTTGCCTATACTGACTACGAGGCCCATCTGAAAAAAAGTGTATTTTGTTGAACTGTGTTACCATATTTTTGGAATGTCTTAAAACTGGCATTAGATGTGCCCAAATTGCATGCGGTTCGTGGCAACTGTTATCAGACACCGTAGCAAATGACTGTGAACTGTCTTTTGAAAATATCATACCAGTGTGTAACGTAACTGAGTTTTTTGATGCTCCAAAATGAGTGCATTGAATTTCTTGTCCATATTTGCCCTCGTAATTTTCAGAGAAATCACATATAATAACGATCTCATCGTCTTTCAAGTTATTTATACAACTTCTATGCTGTCTTTGCTGTTCTTTCCAATTATAGTAATGGGTTTTAAAAGGTAGCATTT